GCTGATGAGCGTAATTCATATACAAGCCACATGCATTTAACTTGGCTCCTAGTTGTTGAACATTACATCCAAATATCTCGACAGACGATTTCTATGACTGTATTCATTCTCCTACTTGTGGCGTAAGACTTAAGACATCGATATTTACGTTGGGCTGACGTGAATGCCCTTTACAATCCCAGTTCCACCGAAAAGTCTTTTTATCGTATGTTTATTAAGGTTGTATGCTTTTAAATTATAATTAATTTTCTAAACAAAATCCTTTATTATTTATAATTACATATAGATATCAGCGTTATCTTTATGACCCTAATGCGTGAGTAAGCCACTAAGTTTACACAAAGAATGGCTGAAAGTAATCTTATTTTAAAAATTGTCATTAGTTTCCAATAAATCTAATTACATAACTCAGCACCAAGATCAAAAAACAAAATTATCGACCCTCCTCATGAATGACTTTATTCGAGATTTTTTAAGTTATATCCTGTATATATATCTTATTTCATTGCGCGTGTTACGTGTACGTGTACTTAATCGCCGTATAGGCAGAGCAAAAATTCTCCGTGGCACTCCATCAGTTTGATTACATGAAAAGACTACTTGAAGCTTTCAGTTGATTATCAGAGTAACCAGTGCGTCTGATTCCCAAAACAGCAGATTGTACACATGAGAAATAGGGCACAAGGTAGGTCAGATATTACATTTAATGTTTTATGAACGAAAGCAATTTGTCAGAACTAAAATATGTATTTACACGTTGAGTTCGGCAAACTTTTATAGCTTCTGTAACGAATCACTACTAATTCACGATGCCCTCATGAGAGATGAAATTGCAAGCAACTTTGTGTTGTTTTCTAGTAATTAAATTATTTTCCCTGTAAGAATTCATTCGTCTGGTGGCTCATTCTAAAAACGAAATTCTTCAGTCATATTTATTAATTACGAGGAGTAAATTGTTAAAACTGGCGGTCTCCTGTGTTATTGCCCTGATGATGGAGGCAACAATGACCTCTGAAACATCGGTAACTATACGGCACAACAACCCAGAAGACAGCAATCTTCAGACTCAAAGCCGTGAAAACCTCAAATCCTACAAAGTAAAATAGCGAAAATTACAGTAATTAGCACTAAAAGCATTAATACGTTATATCAATTATTACTTTAATTAAATGTAAATAACGATGCATTGTTTTAATATCCCAGTTTGTAAGAACGGGAATTCAGTAACTAACAGGTTGTTATTAACACATTGATTATTAGAAACTACGAACTTGTGTGATAGGTCTGGTAACTTTCAAAAATGTAAGTAAGAAAATAATAACGTCAGGTTTTTATACTGGTCTAGCTCGACATCGCTCCGTTTTTGGTATGAACAATTTGTATGGCAATGAAGTTGTCACTGTTGCATGTTGTATACAAGGGCAATGAATAAATATTTCTGGTACTTGCGTTTATATAAAATGAGATAAATATTTAACTTTTCTAGAACGCAATGGCATAATACTTTATTAAATATATGAGGACAGTCTACAAGTATTTAGTCCTAATAAGGGACGCATAGTTCTTAAAAGCTTATATTCTATCATAATTATTTATTAATACAATTATAATACTTTCTGGGTAAGTATATGTTTATTTACACATACTGAAATTATTCTGTTAATGCCAGATCAGTTTATAAGAGCAATTCATCATTCATTTTTAAAATAACACGAAATTTCGTAAGATCGGTTTAATTTACATACAAATTCCTTATGACCGTTTATACGAATATTCAATACTCATATTAAATATAAAGCATGCAAAATAATCCATTTTAAATTAATAATTTCTGAAATGTTAACAGTGAAATGAATTATAACTTCCCGTGCCAAAAGCTGTGAGCGAAAATATACATCTTTTAAATATTAAACAAAATTATGACCATGCAACATCCATGCAAACTGTCGCCGAAACTAGTGAATATCTGATAACAATTAACATTGTGCCACAGAATACGGAGCTAGAGCTTGTATCTAAAATACATACGTAAAGAGTTTACGTGGTTCTTAGCGTATCTGCCGCCTGCAGAAAACATATGTTACTGCAAATTATTATGCTTTATTCCCAACACAGCCTTCGACCAAACAATATCAACATTCGGAGGATTGGTAATTGTTACATGATTAACCACACTATTATAGAACAAAAAATTCACAAGGAGAAGCAGTATTCTTGTTTTGTAACTTAAATGATAACATGCAGATGGTGCTTGAAAGGGTGTGATAATACTCTTTGACTCTTTAAGAACTTGTGTGACATATTTATATCAATTTTAAAGTATGAATCTCAATTTTTACGCTAAATGTAACAAAACTACACAATCTGGTTCATAGCGTCCAGTAAAATGGTTCCAAACAGACTTAATTAACAACTGGATACTGGGAACGACCCGTTCTTCAAGTGCCTGAGCACTGCGGGTCCCAACTTTTCGTTGGCTTGATCTGTAGACATTCGGCAGGACTCCTTGGACGAGGGATCGGTCCGTCGCAAGGCCTCTACCCGTACGCAGGACAGCACAACACAGAAAAACGCGGACGAACATCCATGGCTTGAGTGGGATTCGAACCCACGGTACCAGTGACCAAGCGGCACAAGGCCCACGCCTCAGACCGCGCGGCCACTGCTGACCCTTAATTAACAACGTCAGCATCAATTCTGAATGTTAAATATGGTATTAAATAACAAAACTCCGAAATCAGAACCTGATTTAACAACTCATATTCACAGGGTATAATATGTATTTGTATGTCAACAAAGTTGTGATTAATGTCCCTCCACGGAATTCAAATTCCCCTTAATCAGTGTTTTAATTACACCAGATCTCTTAATAACTGTTTTGTACAATAAACTGTTTTCGGTGAGAAGTGAATAAAATAATTTTATTCAGCACTGCCCTAAAGTAAATATCTATGTTATCCTAGATCCTTTAAATAATGTTGCAAATCAGGTTTGAATTTGTACAAAATAATAAAGCAAACGTTTCACAAAACACTCTCAAGAATTATCACTTGCATTGAAGTGCTTGAAGTAATGTTTTAACAGTTGCAGCATTAACATGAATAAAAAAGGCGATTCATCCATTTCAAGCACCGGTGGAAGAAACACAGGATACAAGGTTCTATATAAAAGGTAAGGTGAACGACTGACCTCGCTTTCCGTGAACTTCCTCCACACCAACATCAATAGTAAACATATTTTCACTTATCATAGAGCAGGGAAAAATAAATCTTCTAGTGCTGTATTCTTCTCTGTTATTTAGTATTTAAAAAATAAAGAACTGAAAGAATCTCTCTTCAACATTTTTTTACGGAAAACTGCGAACATAAATTGATATGCGTTATGACTGACATTTCGTCGACATTTTTTAATTTTTTTAAGGAAATGTTCTGTTTCCAGCATCGGCTGTTGCATGCCCACGGAAGAATCGACAGTTTCCTGTCAGAATATTCTTTTCAGCCTTGTGTATTCACCAAAATTATAACCACTTTTGCAGGTTCTTGTATACCCAGCAGTTTTCTCATATAAAATACAAATTTCGTATTTTCCTCTTGTTATTAATGACGAAAATATTTGTGCCGGGAGTTAAAAACGGACAATCCACATTCCACTTGGTTCACGATCACTTAAATTAATTAACACCGACAACTTTGAGAACACATAAACATTTGGCGACTTTATTTTGCAAGAATATAATTCACAGAAATGATTAATTTAATAGGAGCTGGTTTTAAATATTAAAAAGCTATGTATCTTTACACGACGAACAGAGATCTTTACAGAGGTGTCAAAATATGTGGATATTAACACGAAATCGATTTATGTTTAGGCCCAGAAATTGAACGAATAAATTAATTTATTCTAAGAACGATATATTATACTCGTATAATATTTAATTTATACATTAAATTTAATGGTGAAAATACAACTTATTTTTCTTCTTATTTAAATCACACACTTTTAAATGTAGTAGGACACACTTGTCACACGGTAAAGACACACAGAATGTAAGAGCTGATAAATAACGAAGTCTGCTTCGTCCCATACACAGTATTTGTAAGAGGAGTACTAGCAGTATTTTAGGTGGTTGGACACGAACATCCTGTTGAGGCTTGGACGCCCGGCCAAGCTTGGACTGAACGATGGCGGGCGGGCAACGTGCTTGGCAGGGGTAACCTGCGCGCTACAGCCAGCGCAAACACCCCCTATTGATCTTTCCGAACTCGACTCTTCTCTAAGTTGGTTTCTCTCGTGACGCCTGTTAGCCATCGCAGGGTACCTATACACCCCCGTTGCCGCCAAAGCAGGACAGCACAACACAGAAAAACGCGGACGAACATCCATGGCTTGAGTGGGATTCGAACCCACGGTACCAGTGACCAAGCGGCACAAGGCCCACGCCTCAGACCGCGCGGCCACTGCTGACCCTTAATTAACAACGTCAGCATCAATTCTGAATGTTAAATATGGTATTAAATAACAAAACTCCGAAATCAGAACCTGATTTAACAACTCATATTCACAGGGTATAATATGTATTTGTATGTCAACAAAGTTGTGATTAATGTCCCTCCACGGAATTCAAATTCCCCTTAATCAGTGTTTTAATTACACCAGATCTCTTAATAACTGTTTTGTACAATAAACTGTTTTCGGTGAGAAGTGAATAAAATAATTTTATTCAGCACTGCCCTAAAGTAAATATCTATGTTATCCTAGATCCTTTAAATAATGTTGCAAATCAGGTTTGAATTTGTACAAAATAATAAAGCAAACGTTTCACAAAACACTCTCAAGAATTATCACTTGCATTGAAGTGCTTGAAGTAATGTTTTAACAGTTGCAGCATTAACATGAATAAAAAAGGCGATTCATCCATTTCAAGCACCGGTGGAAGAAACACAGGATACAAGGTTCTATATAAAAGGTAAGGTGAACGACTGACCTCGCTTTCCGTGAACTTCCTCCACACCAACATCAATAGTAAACATATTTTCACTTATCATAGAGCAGGGAAAAATAAATCTTCTAGTGCTGTATTCTTCTCTGTTATTTAGTATTTAAAAAATAAAGAACTGAAAGAATCTCTCTTCAACATTTTTTTACGGAAAACTGCGAACATAAATTGATATGCGTTATGACTGACATTTCGTCGACATTTTTTAATTTTTTTAAGGAAATGTTCTGTTTCCAGCATCGGCTGTTGCATGCCCACGGAAGAATCGACAGTTTCCTGTCAGAATATTCTTTTCAGCCTTGTGTATTCACCAAAATTATAACCACTTTTGCAGGTTCTTGTATACCCAGCAGTTTTCTCATATAAAATACAAATTTCGTATTTTCCTCTTGTTATTAATGACGAAAATATTTGTGCCGGGAGTTAAAAACGGACAATCCACATTCCACTTGGTTCACGATCACTTAAATTAATTAACACCGACAACTTTGAGAACACATAAACATTTGGCGACTTTATTTTGCAAGAATATAATTCACAGAAATGATTAATTTAATAGGAGCTGGTTTTAAATATTAAAAAGCTATGTATCTTTACACGACGAACAGAGATCTTTACAGAGGTGTCAAAATATGTGGATATTAACACGAAATCGATTTATGTTTAGGCCCAGAAATTGAACGAATAAATTAATTTATTCTAAGAACGATATATTATACTCGTATAATATTTAATTTATACATTAAATTTAATGGTGAAAATACAACTTATTTTTCTTCTTATTTAAATCACACACTTTTAAATGTAGTAGGACACACTTGTCACACGGTAAAGACACACAGAATGTAAGAGCTGATAAATAACGAAGTCTGCTTCGTCCCATACACAGTATTTGTAAGAGGAGTACTAGCAGTATTTTAGGTGGTTGGACACGAACATCCTGTTGAGGCTTGGACGCCCGGCCAAGCTTGGACTGAACGATGGCGGGCGGGCAACGTGCTTGGCAGGGGTAACCTGCGCGCTACAGCCAGCGCAAACACCCCCTATTGATCTTTCCGAACTCGACTCTTCTCTAAGTTGGTTTCTCTCGTGACGCCTGTTAGCCATCGCAGGGTACCTATACACCCCCGTTGCCGCCAAATCGGCCCGGTCCATTTTCAGTTCCAATCCAAGGAGTTAGTTGGACTTCTAGATAGAGAAAATTAAGTTTGAATATTTTAACAGTGCTGTGAAATTATTTGTAACGATACGAGATTTGAGGTTCTTGGGCCGGTGAAGGTATCTATGTTGGTCTTCTGGGTTGTAATACCGTGTGGAATTGTAGGTAGATATCGACGTTTCAGACGAACAAACTACCTTATCTTATTACTAATTAGATTATTTCGTATTGAGCTACGCTTCAAACGTGACTGGCATGAAGGAAGGAGTTGCACTTTCTATACTCCATTGTGAAACCGTGAAAATTGAAAAGGACAGTAAACCCCAGAATTCAGTTCAGAACATCGTTTTCCCGCTCATAGACAAAGAACACATCGATTAAAACGTGAATTGCTTTATTTTCTATGATAAAGTCAGTCCCTCACGTTGAGAGAACACAGGTTTAGGGTGTCTGAAAAAGGGTACTGAGGAAAATATTTGGACCTGGCACGGAGGAAGTTACAGAAGGCTTGATAAAACTTTATAGCGAATTTCAAAATGTATAAGCTTCATCAGATATTACTGGGGATAAAATAAATGAGAATGAGATGAGCGGAGTGTGTAGCATGCAACGATTATACAAGAAATCTAGAAAAATCTAGAAAAAAGTTTTGGCAGGAGACCACTTCTGACACCTAGGAGTAGATGGAAAGAATTTACAATGTACAGGAAAATATAACTTAAAATATTAAAACTGACAACACTTTCTATGTACAATTAAAATTTTAAATGAAACGCAAAAGCTCTTTATCCTGAAACGTGTACGTAAGTTTCAGCTATTAGCTTTATGCATACTGCAGAGCACTGGCCGTATGTTATTATGAAGGTTTAGAAGGTTTGAGAGTAGGGATGTTGAAGGGACTCCTAGGAAATTACTGCTGCTTCGTCCATCATTGCCAAACAGAAACAAAATCCCACTTCATTTCGAACAGCTTAAAACAATTCCTGTGAATTATCCGTAAGGTTAACAATTCTACAAACGAATGAAATCTATCTTTTATTGGTGACACTGTTATGAAAATGCATTCAATAAAGTGACCTATTCAGGAGCATGCAAACATAATATTTCAAACATATACCTCAGAAGCATACAATTTAACACGAAAGCAAGAGCTTTGGACTTGAGGGTTCTCGTTACTGAGATAATCCGTATGAATTCACATCACACTCTCATCAACATGCTTTTCACAAACAAAAGTTTAAAACCAGTAATGGATCAAAGTAAACTACGCAAGAAAAGCACTAAAGAGCTGTACTGCTAGACATCTCGTGTATCTTCTCGCTTTCTTTCCACACACTCAAAGGCTGTAATGT